CTCATTTCTGATTTTAACAGGACCATAATATGTTATGATTTTAAAACCTTCTTTAGTACTTCCCCCCCCCACTCAAATTGGTAATAGAACCATACTTCTTATCCTCAATTACACTCTGACTTATCAAACAAACACAGTACAAATACCAATCAGCAATGAGGGGCATCTTCAAAAGTAGTCCCTGAACAATGGCCCAGTGCTGCATGCAAGGCCTCCTCCAGAATGGTCATCCTCGATTTCGATTTAAACCCTTCCACAACAGAAAACTGAAAAGGTGTCCAATTCCATCTTCAAAACCATCCACCGAACTACTAAAAATATCTTCCACATACTTATCTCACTGTAACTTTTCCCTACTGCACCTAGTTCTATACTATAGAACCTTTTCCATTAAACAAACTCTTAAGTTTTAACAAAGCTATGATGAGCTGCGAAATCCCATTTTCTGGTCAGAATCCTTACTTCTTTCAACCACTCCTCAGACCCTAGTTTCATAACCTTCCAGGACTCAGGTCACTCCCCATGACTGACTCTAGTGGTCTGATATTGAAAGGAGCATGTACAGTAACCCACCTGTACCTCAACTTGCTAAGATCTGTAAAATTGGGATATAATAGTACATATACTACATTAGATGATAGGTGCTATGGAGAAAAATACACAGCAGGGTAAGAGGAAAATGGAGGTCTCTAGCTGACTAGAGGGTAGGAGGGGGGTTGCTATGTTATATATAGTAGCCTGGGAAGGACTCTCTGAAAGGTACATTTGAGCAGAGAACTGAGGAAGTGAGGAAGCAAACTATGTGGGTATTTGGAAGAGAAGATCTCCGGCTAAAATAAAAGTAAATACAAACGATGTGTACTTGGTGTGGTCTGAGGAGCAGCAAGGAAGCAGGCTGAGGAAGAATGATAGAGAGAGCAGTCAGAAATGGGCAGAGGGGTAGCACGGTAGAACTTTGTAGGCTTGCTTTTATCTTAAGTAAGATGAAGAAGGCACCAGAAGACTGAGACTGCCTAACTTGGGTTTTAAATGATGGCTATGTTGAGAAATGCACAGGAAACAAATAGGAAGTTCAGGCAATAATTGAAATAAGTGATGAAAGTGGCTTGGACAACGGTGACAGAGTGAAGGTCTGTAAGAGATGATCAATTTCTAGATATACTGTGAAGATAAGGCCAACAGGAATTGCTGATGAATGGATATAGAACGTAAGTGAGAGAGAGAAGTCTGGGATGACTACCCGGTTTTTTGGCAAGGTGGGTTTGTATTCTAGGAGACTCTTGCCACTTACTGTGTGACCTAGGCAAGTTACTTATCAAGTTGGCCTCAGTCTCTCCATCTGTAAAGTGGGGATATTAACAGTACCTGTCTAATAAGACTGTTGTGAAGAATATATGTTTAAAAAAAAAAAAAGCTTAGAGGAGTACCTTCCACTATATAAGCACTAGGTGAGTATTGCTGGCATCGTCATCATTATTAGCTTGCTTGTGAAAAGATGGAGTTACAGGAAGAACAGGTTTGAGAGTGGGATAGAGATCAGGAATTCAGTTTTGAATGTATTAACATTCTAATAGACATCCAAGTGAAGACCTTAAATAGGCAGCTGGTCATAGAGGTTAGCAGGAAGATCAGGTTTAGAGAAATATATCTGGGAATTGGCAACATATAGATTGAATGAAAACCATGAAAGTAAAAAAGATCCTTCTAAGGAGGAACTATAGAATAAAAAGAGTCCCCAGGACTGAGCCTTGGGGCACTCAACATTTTAGAAGTTGGGAGAACAATGAGGAACCAGCATTCCCCTTCCAGGAGTGGCACCCTGAATGTCAAAAGTAACAAAGTGTTCAAGAAGAAAGGAGTATTCAGCAGTTTCAAATGATGTGGAGAGGTCTAAGAAATGATCATGGATCACTGGGTTTTACAACACAGACATTGACAAACCCTGGTAATTAAGAACTATTTTGATACAGTGGGGATAAAAGTCAGGTAGAGTAAATTCATGAAAAAGTAAGAGAAAATGAATTGGAAACAGCAAATATGGACAGCTCTTCAGAGGAATGCTGATGCAAAAAGGAACAGAGAAATAGGTGATTATCTAGGGAGGACTGTGGGCCAAGTTTGTTATTGTTTTAAGATGAAAGAAAACATAGCAGTCTTTAATACCAATGGTAATGCATCAGTGGGAGAGTAAGAAATAGATGATGCAGGAGAGGAGTAATTGTTGGGACCAGTCCTTAACTAGGCCACAGGGGATAGAATACAGTGTACTGGGCATGGCTCAGACAAGACTTAAATCATTGGGTTATTAATTCATTTACTCAACATGTTTACTAAGCAAATAATTTGTGCTTGACACTATTCTAAACATTGGGGGACATATTGGTAAACAAAATCATATGAGAAAACATATGTAAAGCACTTACAATAATATGACTGGCACATAGTAAGCACCTAACAAATACCACCTAAAGACAGACCTTAACTGTGTTCATTCAAATCTTTGACAAAAGATGTGGACCAAGACAGTGCCCTAAAACTTGCCACTCAAGAACTATCGGAAGAGTCTGAATAACAAGCTTTTGAGTTAATAAAATACTTTCAATAATATGAGAGCATGGCTTTAGAATTCAATGAATGCAACCTCTTAATTTTGCAGAAACCAGTTAAAAAGAGACAGCCAAGTTGACTTGCCCAAAGTTACTAAATCAGTGAAGAACCAAGGGCCAAAATTAAAACTCGATTCTCCTACTTCCTACCCTGGTTTTCATTACACTTTCTTTAACATCTCCCTCCCTCTCTCTCTTACAGGAAGGATGAAAATGTTAAGATTCCAATCTCTGTCTTCCCTCTACTTCTGCCTAGCCCTTCTCCCCCTCCAATTTAACATTGATTATATTTGACTCCATACCAATTTCTTTTAATACAATTAAAAACTATAATCGTTAAAAGATGTTTTGGGGGAGATACAATATTTTAATTACCAAAATTCCAGGTCATTTCCTAACAACGACAACAACAAATCTACAATTAAACATAGTCTTGTGCATCACATATAAAGAAAATACCACCATGCTGATATTGATGGTGAGGAACATTCACTGTAATTGACTTTATACATTTTTAAAATAAAAGTATTTCAAAAACTAATAAACCAGAACAGAGGATCTTTTGTTTTCTAGAAACCCTTAAGGAAATAAATCTATTTTTAAACACCTATTATCAGGACTTTTAGCACCATAGATGGCAGCAGATCCATTTTTTACTTTTAGTATATAAGGCACATTGAAGATACATTGAAAATGCCAATTAAATTAAGTACTCACTGAAATAAAATTTTCCCTTTTCCTTTCTGCATTTTTGATAATTGTTTAACAGGGGTTTAGGACACCGTTCTAGTGAATGAGCATTCCACTTCAAACTAAAAGTAGTTTATCTAATATAAATTAATCTATTTGGCAAACCTAATCATTTTCTCTTTAAAACAATACCTTTTAGATTCAAGCTTCAAACTCTAGGCTCTATTATGAACTACCTTTCAAGGTTTTGTGTTTTGTTTTTTTTTAAACCCCAGAATGTCCTTCGACTTCTAGCTAAAATCTTCCACTCTGATAACTACTATTCTACCTTTTTTTCTTAACCTATCCTCATCCCCCAAATGTGGCACATCTATACCGGTCTATCTGTAACCGTGCAGCACTCTTACCTCCTTGAGTCACTAAAATGAGCGAATCTCCGACATCAAAGTAAGACAGAAGTAAGGTTGTGGAAATAAACATTTCATTTGAAAATTAATCTTCTATTTCCATCCAATAGTAAATGCGACCAAACTATTAGGGACTGTCTTAAATATCCGGATTTTACCCTCAGTTGTTATACATTCTAAAGCAATAACAATGCCATTTTGGCATTAATAGCACAACCAAGTCCTGAAATGCTCCAACCACCTTCAAGTTGGAACTTGCTTCTTTGAGGAAGCTGCCTGGACAGTCTCAACGACTACCACACACCAAATACGAACTGCCTTTTTCAATTCTAGCAGTGGTGTTCCAGTTTTCGGCATCCTGGTTAAGTGCACATGCATTTTTCTTACGCATCAGCAGCTTGAGGACAGAGACCTGTTCTACAGGCTGCAAACCCCAGAGACCAAGGCAGCCTCTGCCGCGCACAAAGCAGGTACCCACTAAAACTATTAATAGCATTTGAGAGGTCTGATATACACAGTTTCATTTAGTCGTTCCAGTAGCCCTAGGAAGCAGGGACTATTCATCATTCCTATTTTACAGATGACCACAAGGAGGCTCAGAAGGGTTAAGTCGCTTGCCCGGATCACACAGGTAGCAAAGGAGCATCAAACCCGGATTCCAAGCCCGACTTGTCGGGAAGCCTTCTTAACCACTTATTCCTGCGGCCTCCCGAGTACAGGAGGTTCGATTCGGATCCTGGAAAGAAAGGTCACCGGGTAAGCCCAGAGGCCTCTGCCGAGGTTCTGACACCTCGCCCCGCCGCCCAAGTTGAGACGAAACGAGGTTTTTGAGCGCGAAGGAGGATGCGCGGCGGAGTGAACGGGCTCGTTGTGACCCAGGCACTATCACCCCTCCCCGCCACTCCGGTGCCCGAGCTTACACCGAGTGCGGCGGGAAGCCCAGTCCGCCCGCCCCCGCCGGGGACTCCGGGGCTGCCCCACGGAGACTAGACGTGCGGCCTTGACCGCTCTGAGCCCCGCGAGACTGATGCGGAGCCGTGCGCCCGGCGGGGAGGAGCGCGAGGTGGCCAAGATGAGGACCGACGCACCTCAGGCGGGAGGGGCAGAAGCGGCTCGCCCTCACCCTCGAGCAGCGGCGGGAGCTCTTCGGTGGCTCAACGACCGAGGGAAGAAGAGAAATTTCAGCGGCCGTTTCCCCCCCCGAGCAACCTGGGAAGAAAAAGACAAACGGCGGCTGTAGTCCGGACGGCGTTGAATGTGACACCTCCCATCGCCCCGCCCCTTCCCGTGGGCTCCCGGAGCCACTTCCGGTGGCGGCTCCTTAGCCTGCACCAGTCTCGTGCGGCCCCGGGCCCGTTCCTGACCCCTGGCGTCCCCTTGGTCGCGCCGGCGAGACCTCTTTTCGGTCTCCAGGAACCGAGCAGAGGCCGGGAAGGCCTGTCCCGTGCCGTCTCCCGCAGAGTGTCCTGCACTGAGGTGGTAAAATGTGCTGCGAGAAGTGGAGCCGCATGGCTGAAATGTTTCTCTTCATTGAAGACCTAGAAGAGGATTATAAGATCCTTTGCCTCTGCTCCAGGGCATTTGTGGAGTAAGTAAAAACGTGTTCCTCTTCATCTCTACCACGGTTATTTCCCAGAAATGTAGGCTTTGCAAACTACGTGGAATTGGGATCCACGGCCGGAGTGTATAAGACCGTTGGGCAGGGTGATGTTTCAGAGAAAAAAGTCCTCGAGCTTCACGGAGAGGTCGCCGATTGCCATTAAGTGAAAAAGTAAAATCTACTTTGTAGGCTGCCGTGAAAAAATGTGGTAGCTGATTCATTTCGTTTTAATGAGGGGACGTTTAAAAATCGGGGAAGCGAAATGTAAAATGAAATCTCCTTAGTGGCTGTGACATCACAAGTTGAAGGCTATCAGATAAGTAACTTTCGTGGGTTAACATTTTTTAAAACCTAACGCAAATGCGCTTAAATAGAACTAATTACCTGAGTTAAAAGACTTAACTCTAATTACATCAGTTTTTGAGCTATATTTTTGGAAAATATGTGTTTGCGGTAAACATTGCCCTGCACGGAAAATAGCCAGTGGGCAGGAAAAAACTGACTAAAGAATTGGACTCCAGGTATGGCTTTCTTTATATTAGGTGTGTGAGTTTAGCCCCTTGAATCTTTTTTTCATTCCTAAAACAGGTATATCTACCCCAGTTATCTCACAGGCTGGTTGTTAGATTCAACTTGTGGAGGCAAATTTCATGCGCTAGACTTTTAATATAGTTTATTGTGGTAGAGTTTAAGTTTGAAGCAATTCTTACTGTTTGTCATTGTGTTTCTGTGGGGTAATCGGAAAATTAATCCGAAAGGAAATGAAACACTTTTTAAAAAGTATTGTCGTCTTTGTATACATCCATGCACATATTCATTCAGCAGATGCTTTTTGTGCTTCCTTGTATTAGCTACACTGGTAGGCACTGGGGTACAAGACACAGCCGGTCGGAGCCCTGGGTGTTACACACAAACAATGAATCATGGAACAGGACATCAAAAACTAATGATGTATGGTGATTAACATAACAATAAAAATGGTAGAAAAAAAAAGACACAGCCCGTCCCTACACCCTTTGAGTGTACTTTCTAGCAAAGGAGATCACTTAGCTAATTACGTAGTTACTTAGCTAATTACAGTTGTAAGTACTATAAGAGAGAAGCAGTACAGCTGTATATGATACAGAAACCTAACCTTTCTCCAAAGAGATCAAAGAGATTTCTTGGAGGAAGTAACATTTGAAAAGAGGTCTAAAGAGTGGTGATAAACAGGGGTGTATTTGAGTGGTAGGGAGTGATAATCAGAACTCTGTGTAAAAAGCAAAAGAAAGCCAAGACTACATACTTAGTTCTTCGCCCGAAGCTGGGTTGAGTCATGGGGCTGTCTTCATGAAGCCTCCTTTCCAAAAAGAAGAGAAAGAGAATGTAAGTTATAAAATGTAAAAGGTTGAGAAAAATTGTCATGCCAGACCCCTACAAAACAATATGCTACTGGGTTCCAATTAAAGCAACTTTATTTAAAACACACTTTAATTGCCATATAAATCACCAATTACTTTGAATTTAGTCTTTTTTGAACCAAAACATTCATCTTTTAAATTTCAGATAATTTCATGCATATTTTTAAAACTTAGAAGCTCTATTTACTTTTCTAAACTACCTTCTGAGTTCAAAATAGGTAAAGAGAAAAGAATGGCTTTTTCCTTTAGATCATTTAATGCTCAAATTATAACACTTTAGAACAAAAAGAACGTGATCTTGGAATTATTTCCAGTAGCTGTTTGAAAAGTCTTTGAGACTTGGAGACATGCTGGAAGTTAAGAAGCTTATTAGTATAACCCTACTTTCCAGGTAGGGAAAAGGTCCGTTTCACGGTCTTGTTTGTTTGTTTCAGTCTTAAAACAACAGATTGATTGATAGCAAAATTCTAGAATAAATTATTAAACTGAGAAAGTAGTCCATGTAGCAGAAAACAGAAAATGAGCATTAGCATAGATGCCTAATACCTTCTCAGTATTGAGTTGATTCTCATAGTGAGTAAGGTTATTGTACACCTCTCCTCAAAGGCAGGAAATAGAACCTAATATCATAACTAAGTTTTATTATCTGAGGACATTATATTAACATACTGTAGTCTTAAGAGCTCTAGAATAATAATTCTATTTCATCTGCACATTCAGGTTTCCGTATATTATATATATGAAGAAAACATAATTATGATATAATGGAGCTCTTAAAAATAATCTTTATAATGGCTCAGTAGGTAACATGAAAAAATATCTTGTGTTACTTAACGTATCTGAATATAAAATACCTACACTATGACTACAGTTATGTAAAATTTTGTGTTGTTATGTACAAAGCCTAGAATAGAACATAGGAAAATGCTGAAATGATGGAGTAGTAGATTTTTGTTATAAAGTCTGTGCTATAAGTAACAGACTTTACTTAATTTTTTTTAGTAAATCATTTTAAAATAATTTCAAACTTGCAAAAATAAGTCAGTAGAGGAGTAAAGAATGGGTTCAAACTTAAAAACAAACAAAAAACCAAAAATAGGTCAAAGAACTCTCATATTCCCCTCTCCCAGATTCACCTAGTGTTAACAGTTAACTGCATTTGTTCCGTCTCTCCCTCCGCATGCATACACACAGACACACGCGTGTGCCCCCCTCCTCCCCCAGACTCAATCTTTAGTCTTTTTCTGGACCCAGCTGCACATATGATTCCCCATCACTCCTAAATACTCCATCGTGTATTTTCCTAAAACAAGTGTTTTCTCTTCCATAACCACTGTGGTGGGTGCACATTTCCCCAGCTTTCCCAGTAGTGTCTCTTTTCTTTCTGATCCAGAGTTCCACATAGTTCCTCTTATGTTTACTTATGACTTGTCAGCCTCCTCCTTTGGAAAAATTCCTCACCCTTTCCCTCCCTATCATGGCCTCAGCATTTAAAAAAATGCCGACCTTACCTTCTGTGCTGATCTTCCTTAACCTGGGTCTGTCTGACATTTCAACACGAACAGAGCTGGGCCATGCCTTCTTGGCAGAAATGCCACAGAAATTATCCTGTGCTTGGCTCTGCATCATTTCAGTCACTTGCTGTGGACCCATTTCACCCCTGGTGACATTGACCTCCGTTACCTAATCATGTTGCAGTCTCATAGCTATCTCTACTGTAAAGTCACAGCGGTTCCCTTTGTATGTATTAGTATTTGGGGGGAAGGTACTCCAGTGTTACTAGTACCCTGTTCCTGCCTGAATCAGCTGCCTCTGAAGGTTGCCAAAGAGCAATTCTCTGTCTCTGTCATTCTACTTTTATTAGTTGACATTCTGTATGGAGCACTTTCCCTTCTCTCCCCATGTATTTGTTTACTTCTTTATTTACACTAACATGGACTCTGGATTATTCATTTATTAATAAGTTCTATTATTCTCATTTATTTTGATGTTCCTATTATCTCAGTTTAGGTGGTGTGGGCCCCTTGAGGTGGCTTGATTATCATTTTAATGTGTCCCTGGCATTCTTTGACCTCCTCATAACCTGGCACAGAAGGTGACCCAGTCTTACCTTTTACAGTTCATGCTTTAACCTGGAGCTGCGATTTCTCCAAGGTACCTTGGCTCCTTTTAGCGGAGTATAGTGTTCAGAAACCAAGACTTGGATGCTCATTGTGTTCATTGCTCCTGGGTTTCCATTGCCTCTACACTCTCTCAGCAGACACAGTCAGGATGTATCCGAATTTTAGATACATACATGAATACATGTATGTGGGTGGAAAATCTTAGCTATCATTATCTTCAGTGTATTTACTTATTTGCTCAATGTAACAAATCTTACAACCATATTAGTCTTTTCCTCCACCTGACATCTAGGGCCCCATATCCGTGGGTACTGGTGGGCATACCATTGATGTCCTCTGTACAGCTGCTGATCTCCCCCACCACCTAACCACTTCTCCATTGTCCAATGTTCTTGGGGGCCTGTGGGCATGTGGCCAAAGCACATTTGCACTTCATCTGCTGGCTTGTTTGCTGTCCTGCTATGAGTCATCACCTACTTTATGTTTTATAAAGTACCAAAAATAAACAGGAGGATAGTGAAATATATCAAGTATACAAGAATTTTATTTTGTTGAATTTATTGTGGCCCCATTAGAAAAATAGTGTTAGCTAATACTTAAAGATAGCCTTATTATGGCCCTTCTCATGGAGTTTATTTACAGCTGAATTTAATGGTAGAAAGATAGTAGCAAAATTTTATTTTTTTAAGTGTTCTGTTAAGTTTATTTGGGTTAGGTAATTTCCAATCTTAGCAGATAGAGAAAAAATTTAGAAGTAGCTATGTAAAGAAAAGTTTAATCATTCACTGTTTTTTAAAAATTGTTGAGACTGGGATGGCTGTCTGGCTCCGTTGGTGGAGCATACGACTCTCCATGTCGGGGTCTTAAGTTCAAGGCCCATGTTGGGCTTAGAGCTTACCTAGGTTGGTAGGTTGGTAGGTAGATAAAATTTAAAATTGTTGAGGCTGAATTGTTTTGATTTATGTTTCAGTTTGATAAAATATTTAAATAAGAACTTTGGAGTTAGTCCACAAAACAACCTTTGCTTGGACCATGAATAGCTTGTCTACTAGGCAATGATAACTTGACCTATTTGCAAATGGAGTAGGGTCTGCATGTGGATTTATATATATGTAAGATAAATCTTTCCACTTTTATGCTTACTTTGTACAGCAAATTTAGAGAACACTTCATTGTTCATGTATTATAAGATTGCTTCTTCCTCCAAACCAAAACTACCATTTAATTTTAATAATTAGTAGTTACAGTTATAAATGCTTCCCATGTGATATATATTACTTTACATATACTATTTTTATAACAATTTCACGAGATATGTATTATTACCTGTATATTACAGATGAGGAAAATATATTAGCAAATTGCTTTTCTGTTCCTTAACCTTTTTAATTAATCTGTGCTGCCTCAAACTTGTTTTTTTCTCAAGTTTATAATTTAATTTATTTCAGTATTGACTGTTTAATTTGCTTTGTAGAGATCGAAAATTGTGCAATTTGGGATTAAAAGGCTACTATGTCAAAGGCAATGACGACAATGCAGGTAATACAGTAGAAAACAATATGGCCCTTTTTTTGCTCAAAGTAATAGTGTATTGATTTTAAATATAATTTGTTATAATACTATATTAATTTGTTGGCATAAAATATAAATGACAACCAGTAATGATAGATAGTCCTTATTTTTTATTATAACGTGGTTCTAGAACCCCTGTCAAAGCAGATCTTTTCTTTTTCTGTAGCTAGCTCCTGTATGGACTTGAGGTAGCCTCTTTTGTTCTGTGTAGCATTCCTTCCTGAGTTGTTGCCATTAGATAAGAGCAAGCTGAAATTTGAAGCTTTGAAAAGTAGAGAACATAAGGTTTTTTTCAGCAAAATTTTATTGTGTTGGAAGAGAAACAGAGGCACATTAAAATTTTCAAGAGTTTATTTGAGCTTATATCTGTGCAACTTGGGCAGTACCAGCTCCCTAGATAGGAGCACCACTCCAGGACAGGAGTTAGGGGAGGGGTTTTTATAGAGAAGATGTAGAAGCAAAGCAAGGAAATTATTGATTGGCTCTGCCTTAAGCAATGACCTCATTTGGGGAAGCCTAGTTAACTGTTTGTGATTAGTTGTTCTTAACTGTTATTTTCTTAGATTTGAGTGCTTTGATTCTGGCTTAGGTGTTTGGTTTGCTTACATAGACAATGAAGGCCTTCAAGCCACCTCAGTCTAATGACCTCCTTGTTTAGATACTTTAACGGTTGTATAGATAAATTATTCAGGATAGATGCCAGATGAACATCCATAGTCTTCTGCTTGAAGTAAAGAGGCCACAATCTGGGTTAACTTTCCCAAATAACAAATAGAATTTGTTCTGTATTTTGAGTCTCACCTAGTTACCTAAAAACCGTCTTGCTCTCTCTTAGACTTCCCTCAGTGACCCCATTTGTTTTTCCTACACAGATCTTTTTTGTTTCTCTAGATACAGGGAAAGCTAGCGTGAGTTCTAGGCTAAAGTCAGCACAAGTAAAGCGCATCATGTTACCCTTAAAAATCCCTTAACTCTCACAAGGATGGAACAAATCACTGTTTCTTCAGTTGATCACTCAATGAAGTGTTTGGTGTGTATTTCAATGTAATGTACAAATGAGGTTTCTTTAGACACCAGGCTCCTACTGAACATAAAATATGCATACCATGAAAGGAACATAAAAGTTAGCTCATTTCTTTTTCCTATTTGCTCCCTCCTGAACTTTCATGAGTTCATTGAATGGAATGGTAAGTGGAGTCCACTTTATTATTTAGGTAGATATCTTTTTTCCGAATGTGTTTCAGTAGAATTTATACACAGAAGATTCCTCTTCTTTACAGTCTCCATTTTTGCTTTGTAAGATTAACTCTTCTGTTGTCTACGATCATTTAGCTGGAATGTAGCTCAGCCCTAATTGAGTATGCTAATGTATAAAGTGATATTTATCTCACATTTTAAATGGTTAATAGAGCATTTGAATGCCATTTGTCCAATTAATGGTGTGATATACTTTTATATAAGCATATTAATATAAAGCTAAACTTGTTATAATAAAACAGGTTTTCTGGGAGAATCAGGGAGCTTGAAAGGATCTTCCAGTTCAGAGGATTTCAGACTTTTAATAGCTTTCATTAAATCATTTCTCGCTCAGAGTCGCAGACTATAAATCCCAATTGTGATTGAAATATCCATGAAGGGCCTAAAGACATACCTTTCACCTCTCTTTTTACTAGCTCCTAAAATAAACTCCACAAATCATTTTAAATTCACTAATCTAGTTTAGTAATATTGCATATAAGGAGTGTCAATGTAAGTATTTTCCCTGTGGTTATTCTGCCATGTTCCCTCTTATATTCTCAATACTTTGCACAGTGCACCGCACAGAGGAGATGCTCAGTAAGTGTAAGTTGAATGGGCAGCTGGTGGCAGGCAGAGCCAGACCAGAAGTTGTCTCCTGATTCTTAATTGGCTATTTTTTACTAGTCTATATTACCCCTTAAAAATCGTAACATTTGCATAACTCTGGGTCTCAGGTTCCTCTTTAAAATGAGGATGAGGGGCCCCTGGGTGGCTTAGTTGGTTGAGCGTCCAGCTCTTGATTTTGGCTTGGGTCATGATCTCAGGGTCCTGGGATTGAGTCCTATTTTGGGCTTTCTGCTCAGAGGGGAGTCAGCCTTTCTCCCTCTTCCTCTGCCCTTCATGTGGGCTTGTGTGTATACGTGTACGCTCTATCAAGTAAATAAACCTTTGAAAAAAACCTGCATCTACATTTTCTCTAAAATGAAGCTAACGAATGCTGTCTGTAGGAGACCAAGCTACAGAAGGGGAGAAAGGCGGCACTGCAGAGTCACATAACAGTAAAGGCTTAGGCCTAGATGAAAGTGAACTTGATTCTGAAGCTGAACTCATGAGAAGTATGGGACTACCACTTCAGTTTGGTGGGATAGCTGCACATAAGAATTTTGAGGTAAGTTACTTATATTTCTTTTTCTTAGTTTTCTTTATAAGATACCACAAAGAATTTTTTTTATATTCATAAACTAGAGCATTCCATCTCTTTTTAAATGTACATATTTATAAATTAGTTAAAACTGCAAGTATGATACATTCATGTATGATTTTTCCTCCTCCTGGAAACATAAATAGTAAGATTAACTTGTTTGTATAACTAAAACCCAGGATGGGGGTTTGATGGTATATTATTTAATGTTTAAAATAGACTTGGATTCTCTTTCTCTTATAGTTTATGAGGTGCATTTTATATTCAAGTTATTTATCTTATGTAGGTGTCTATGAATACTAGAAATAAGGTTAAAATAAAAAAGAAAAAGAAAAAACATCAAAAGAAATACCTAGATGAAATTATGAGAGAATCTTGGAGACAAGAATATGAAGAAGATGACATTTTGGCTTCAGACGATCCATCTTCAGTTGAACAGTATGAGAGCACCAAAACATGCAAACTTCAAACCAAAAAAGACATTGAAACTGAAAATCTTCCTGTTGAAAATATATTATCTCCAAAGCCAGAAATCACAGAAAATTGGGAAAAGTATTGGAGTGAATATGGTGGAGGACTATTATGGCAAAGCTGGCAAGAAAAACATTCAGATCAGATACTATGTTCTGAACCTTGGAACATTCCTGATACAAAGGAGGAATGGGAACAACATTATAGTCAACTTTATTGGTATTATTTGGAACAATTTCAGTATTGGGAAGCTCAGGGTTGGACTTTTGATCCCTCACAAACCTGTGAACCAGATACTTGTGGGTCTAAAATAGAAGTTGACAATGAGAAAGATGAGAATTGCATGAAAGCAGACTTAATATCTTCTCCATCTCCATCTGTTACAATTGATAGTGAAAGCTCTAGTTCAAGTGATAAAGAGCATAATGAAATCCTTGGTGGAATTAGAAATATAAGTTTGAATTCAGAGGAAGTGGAACAGAGCCAGTTAGATTCTTCAGTAAGTTGTGATGGACGTCCGTGGCTAAGTGAAGTCAGCAGCAGCAGAGAATGCCCTACTTCTGGCCAGAGTGAACCATGTAATGGAGGAACCAAGGACAGCAGCTTGTCTGGGAACAGAAGCACGAACCAACCAGCTCAGGGTAAGATTGGCCAAGATTTATTCTACTAAATAACAGTTGGGAAAATTAACCTACTGATCAAAATAATTAACACCTATCCTTTATGGTAGGGTTACACAATGCTAACTACAATTTATAGTATCATATGATTTAATCCGTATATCACAAGTTGTTTATTACCTTTTCATGTAAATAAAAAGAATATTTGTTTAGAGTTCTCAAAAGTATCGTTCCTTCCACTTGTACCTAGGTGGCCAGTGAGTTAAAACTTGGAACTCCCTTGAGAAATTTAATAGAGTGAGTGTGGAATTTCCAAGTTTCTGTAGAGCAAATGAATTTATAGGAGGCATATTAGAGAATGGTTCAAAGTACACAGTGGACATCAGACAAATCTGATTGTAAGTCATACTGGAATTTATTTCAGAACAAATGAAGTCTTGCTCTGTAGGGAATCTCAACAGGGCATGATATTTATAACTGGAAGGGTTGACTTCAGGATAAGGAACTTGGTTAACTCTAGCCTAAGTGATTTAAAACAAAACAAAACCTATCATGCAAACTAGTGTCCAAAGAACTAAAGAAAGCCAGTGAGAGGTGTTTTAAGAAAAGTCAGAGGTTGGTAAGAATGCTCTTCCTGGGAAGGAGAATTCTAACTGATGGCACCAGGAAAATGAGAGAGGAGAAAATTTTTATAACTTCTGAATTTCCAGAAGGCCACTAAGATGTCTTCTTGGCATCCTTGATGTTTGGTGCTAAAAAAGTCTGGTCTATAATATAGGACTTTCTTCTCTGCCTCTTCATACCCTATGTGAAGTAAAAGGTTTTGGCATTTTATTTAACAATTGGATTTGCTTTGCTCCTCAGATTGCTGTATCTAGCTGAGAGTTTCCTTTAGAGAGTTACTAAAGGGCTCTACCTCTTTTTTAATTTCTTTTTTCTCTGTGCTCTTCTGATGGAGCCTGCTTAGGTACTCTCATTCCTTTCTACTTTGGTGTTATTTTCATATTTTTGTAAATAATTGATTATTTTACATTGGTCTTTTGATACTCTTCTATACCTTCCTGATTACTTTCTATGCTGATTTTGACCATAAAACCTGAAATATGTTTACTGGCCAATGTATTTTCCCTTGTCTTACTCCTTCATGTTATTCCTTTGAGCATCCTCCCTTATCTTCCTATTTTTCCCTTTGTCAAACATAGTAAAAACCTCGTAGTCTGTGCCATCTGTTGCCTGTTTCCTAACTTATATGTATAGATTGTCCATTTCTTTAATTAGTCCCAGGGTGAGTGCCATCGGGATGAATCTGAGAATTCTGAGTTTTAATTTGTTTCAGATCCTGCTTTGAGATCAAAACACAAGGTAAAGAGGCGCCTGGGTGGCTCAGTAGGTTAAGTGTCTGCCTTCGGCTGAGTTCATGATCCCAAGGTGCTAGGATCAAGTCCTGAATTGGGCTCCCTCCTCAGCAGAAAGTCTGTTTCTCCCTCTCCCTCTGCCCCTCCCCCCACTCATGCTCTCTCGGTCTCTCTTGCTGTCAGATAAATAATATCTCTCAGATAAATAAATAATATCTCAAATAAATATATCTCAAATAAATAAATAATATCTCAAATAAATATATCTCAAATAATATCTCAAAGAAATATATCTCAAAGAAATATATCTCAAAGAAATATATCTCAAAGAAATATCTCAAATAAATATATCTCAAATAATATCTCAAATAAATATATCTCAAATAAATATATCTCAAATAATAAATAAATAAATAATATCTCTCAAATAAATAAAATCTTTAAAACACACACACACAGGTATATATTGCATTTCTTTGTATGTTTTCTACTGTTTGTGGTTGGGTGTTCTCCTGAAATAGTCTGCTCCTACACAATCAAAGCGTCTCACTGTCTACACTGCAGACAGTTCTCCATTTCCAGTCCCACCCACTCACCTTGTGCCAGTCTGAAGAAAGACAGACAGGTGCCTCAGTTGGAGCTACCACAAGTTAAAAATATTCTTTCTAAATGGTGGAACTTACCTTGCTATTACTTTTCATTTAAGAGCTATACTAGAGATAACTAAATGTATTTGCTTATTAATAAGGAGAAATCATTTTTAATCAATGTATTCTGTCTTCAGAGTGATTTAAGTTAAAATTCCATCAAAATGTGGAGTGCCTGAGTGGCTCACTCAGTTAAGCGTCTGACTCTTGATTTCGGCTCAGATCATAATCTCAGGGTCATGAGATAGAGCCCCATGTCAGACTCTGTGCTCAGCAGAGTCTGCTTCAGATTCTTTCTCTCCCTCAAATTAATTAACTAAATTTCCATCAAAATGTGGTAACTGTTCAGCTATCACAAAGGTAACTGCGGATTACTTTGTGTAGATTTGGACAGCTATGAGGAAAAAGGAGTTTTAGTTTGCTTTTTAAGTAGTTAAATTTAAAACTTTTAAGTAGTTAAACTTTAAACTTTTAAACTTTAATAGATAGACATAGCTATAGGTTTTTATGCTCAGACTCTGAGTGTAGATACACAAAATAGGTAGATGGGGTCTGTCACTGTGCCTGACGTGCATATACAGTTCATTGCAGGAAAGTAACAAAAATATTTTGATGGCCTTTACAAAAGGCAGAAGAGTTGTTAAGCTAAAGGGGAAATCCACTGCAATATCTCTGCCTCTTTAGATTCACAGGACTCTTCAGAAGCAAACACAATCAAAGAAAGACCACATCCCAACAGTACTGATGGAGATGAGAGTGGAGAAGATCCACCTGAACGTAAGCCAAGCAAACTCAAGAGGAGGCAAGTTACATATTACCTCTTTGTCCACAGTGTGGTAGCATAAACATTTGTGTCTTGAGGGAGTGGCTCTAAATGCTTGTTATATTGCAGTACTGTTAATCCTGTGAGGAGAAGAGACAAGACATTCTAGCAAGACGCTGCATCTTTGAACACCCAGCAAATCCCAACTCTTAATTCTGCCACAGTTTCTTGTTTCTAAAATGGAACTGCTGCTTTTTTTATGAGCTCATTGGGAAGACAAAAACTAGCATATAATATATCTGACAGTAGCTATCAATGAATGACAGCTTTTAACTAACAGATAAGTTGATATGGTTTCTTTCAAGGAAGTTCTATTAAGTGCTATGCCCAGAGTTACATAGTAAAACAATGGCAGCTCCAAGTCTAACACCCAGACCAACTCTTCTGGAAGCAGTGCTAGTATACTGTTGATATGTAAAATTAAACAAGTAGCAAGTAATATAGGTAGGATATGGTTAAATGCTAATTCCTTAAAATACAAGGAAAGGATGGACATTGCAGAACTCAGATGTTAGCTAGTAACATTTTATTTCTTTGACAGGATATGAAGTGTTCCACATAAGACTTATGTTCCATACAGCTTCTAAAAAAATATATAAGCTTTGGAGGGTCAGTAACTTAGTATATTCATAAAAGCATGCCTCCATTGTGTTCCTTCTACCTGATACACAGTGCTGGTTAATTCCTACTTTAGGTCCTGGAGACAGAGACTAGGTTACATTTCTGGAACCTAGTAGGTCCACCGTAAATGTTCAGTGACCTTAACTTAATTTGTAAGAATTATTTCTCACCATTTTCTCTTTCTTGGTACTGTCACCAGGTAGGAGGGATCACTAGAAGGCATCCCTAATAGATCGATGATGATCATGTGTTACTTATTATCACTTGTATCACAACCGTATTCTTGATATATATGTGGGGGTTTTTTTGTAATTTTTTAGTTGCTTTGATACTTCTCAAATGTTTCTGTCTTCATTTTTAAGGAAAACTAAAAATAGCACTTTAGGAGATTAATTAAAGGCTGCAGTTTTTACAGGTGTTTTTCCAAAGGCAAATGGAGGGGTCTGTATTAGTGCCATGTTCAAGAACAGAGATAATTGGGATTTGAGTACTTATTGCTGTGTTCCAAACACTGCTGGGTACTTTATCATATTTGGAAAATCTGATTAAACTACTCTTTCCTGTCTTCCTGGATTTGGGAGCTGTGGTTGACTGTTGCAATAGGAAAGTATGTGTAGGTTGACTATACGTATCTTTCGATATTTGCCTGCACTGGTAGGCTCTGGATGCAATGGCTTATCACTGTTTACCTTTTGTTTATTTGTTTAGCCACGAACTGGACATTGATGAAAACCCAGATTCAGACTTTGATGACAATGGTTCCCTTCTAGGATTCAAGCATGGCTCAGGACAAAAGTAATTATATATAAATATAACAGAAATACTGTTGTCTTCCTGAAATCGTTAACACTTCAGATATCTTCAAGTTCTCTGATATTGAAATAGCTAATGATGGTTATAGATTTAATAGAATTTGAGATATTACAGTTAAAACACTAACCTTTCATAGAAAGATTACTGCACATTTGATACACTAACATGTGTTATTAACTCAATTGTACTTCGTAGCAGTCTAATATCATTATTACAATTTCATGGATAAAGCAGCTGCAGCCCACAGAGGTGTGACTTGGTCAGGATCACATCGAGGATTCAGGCCAATCTCTTTTCTAAGCATTGTTCCCTTTTTCACCTTGCATCGCACATGTCTACCTTTGTATATGTAAAGCGAGCATGTCATGAAAAGTTCAAATCTGCAGGAGCCTTTTTTCTTTTTTCTTTTTAAAACTCAAAACAGAAGTAATAAAGAGTTACTTAGCCTCAGGCTAAGTAGGATCCTGGAAGTCAGTTTCTGGTCCAGCATTTCTTGTAAGCTTTAATTTTGAGGTCATCTAGAGGAGATCAATCAAACTTTGCACTAACCAGTTCATCCTAATAGTCTCATGCTAATTTAGTGATTTACACTGCTAACTGGAATATTCGTGTCCCCTCTCTTGGACTCTGCTATACCTGCTGTCCAAGCACCTGAAAAACAAAGGTAATTAGAATTATTTTTGTTTGGTTTGACGAGTGATGCTTATCCATTATAGGAGAAAAAAACAAAAACACCTTCTAGTCTTTCAAATCATTCCTCAGAGGTAGACAGTGTTTGGCATATGTCCTTCCTAATTTACTTGTGTGTTTTTATGCTTATGTACATATAAACAGGTTATTCCCTTTTTATAAAACACAAAAATAAAATCATATTATACATCTTCAGCTTGCTTTTTTTTCCCTCAACAGTGTACCATGAACATCCTGACTTATCAGTACATGCACATTTATCTAGTCCTTGTGTTGTTTAATTGGCCACCCTGTATGTACTTCTAGGTTGTTCTAAGATCTAGGCATATGCCCTTGAGGTTCCCCACAAGGTTTTACATTTACCAATAGCTCATTCCTACTTACTGCTGAATAATGTTCACTGTATGGATATATCACAGTTTTAACCATTCATCTATGCAAGGACATTTGGACTGTGTGTGGTATTTTGCTATTACAAATAAAACTGCTATGAACATTTATATACATAAAGTATAAGTTTTCTCTGGGATTAAATGCCCAAGCATTTAAATCTGAGATTTATAAGAAATCTGAAACTGAAGAAAATACAAGAAAACTAAATTATATATAAGAAAACTGAAGGGTCTATTGCATATAGCATGAAGACTGAACTGAGTAGTTAAGGCACACTAAAGACCTACCATTTACGTCAGCTTGCACCAGTGATTTAAACCAAAATTAAGGTCTTTGATGTTTCTAAGGGGTGAGACTTATTTTGTTAGTTGTGAAATTTTAACTGATAACCTATGTATTATGAAGTCAGCAAGAAAAGGACATAGATCTCAAAATTAACTTATAAATTGAATCCAAATTAGTTCAGAAATACATGCTCATAATTATAATACTATGAATATACTTTAAACTTCCCTTATGGTACTTAAAGGCAGTTGCAGCTCACATAAGCATTTAAAACTAAAGATCCTAAAGATTAGTAATATAAAATATTTTCCCAATATTGCCATGTTTAAATTTCTGGCAGAATTTATTTCTACCCGCATATAATTTTATTAAGAAATTACTTGGGTGGCTCTTGCTAGTATACATTTGTAGAGATTTATTCTGTTACCTGGGATTTAATTTTTTTCTACTTAGGATTCCCAGTTCTGCTTAAAAAGGATAAAATCAGGGTGCTTGGGTGGCAAAGTTGATTGAAGGTCCAGCTCTTGGTTTCAGCACAAATCATGACCTAAGGGTCGTGGGGCAGGGCTCCATGTTCAGCATGGAGTCTGCTAAAGTCTCTCCCTCTCCCTCTCTCCCTTCCCACTGTGTGCGCGTGCTCTGTCTATAAAATAAATAAATCTTTAAAAAAAAGAAGCGGGCGCCTGGGTGGCTCAGTTGGTTAAGCGACTGCCGTCAGCTCAGGTCATGATCCTGGAGTCCCTGGATCAGGTCCTGGATCAGGTCCTGCATTGGGCTCCCTGCTCAGCAGGGAGTCTGCTTCGCCCTCTGAACCTCCTCCCTCTCATGTGCTCTCTCTCTTTCAAATAGATAAATAAAACCTTTAAAAAAAAATTTTTTTTAATTTAAAAAAAAAGAAGCATAAAATAGACTTTTTATAGAGAAGTTTATAATATGGCTAGAAGATAACACCTGAGATTTAACACTCAACTGTTCAGGAGTTTATAAGTGCTAAATTGTATATTACACTTTAAGTTTCTAATAGTCTGTGGGACTGTGGAAGAGGTACTTAAATGAGGCTCAATACGGTCAAAGAAGTCTTTGTAGCACATCTATATGATTTAGGACTAGAAAAATTCAGATGGTTAGATTAGCAGATATTCTCTAATTATTTTGATAATAGGGGTTTGCTTCTTTGGTAAGCTCAGATTAATTTAGGTTAAAAAAATAGTGACCACTTTTAAAATAATTCATATCAACAATAGCCAAACTATGGAGAGAGCCCAAATGTCCATCGACTGATGAATGGATAAAGAATATGTGGTACATATGTACAATGGGATATTACTCATCCATCCAAAAGAATGAAATCTTGCCATTTGCCATGACGTGAATGGAGCTAAGGGTGTATTATGCTAAGCAAAATAAGTCAGCCAAAGAAAGACAAATACCATATGACTTCACTCATATGTGGAATTTAAGAAACAAAACAGATGAACATATGGGAAGATGAAGAATAAAAAAGAAACAAACCATAAGAGGCTCTTAATGATAGAGAACAAACAGGGTTGATGGAGAGAGGTGGGTAGGGAATGGACAAGATAGGTGATAGGTATTAAGGAGGGCATCTGTGATGAGCACTGGGGGTTGTATGTAAGTGATGAATCACTGAATTCTACTCCTGAAACCAATATTGCACTGTATGTTAACTAACTAGAATTTAAATAAAAATTTAAAAGATAAAATAAATAAACAAATGTACCCAAATATGTATTAAAGCACTTTGGTATCATCTCACCATGAGAAAAGATTATATTTCCCTAATGTGCAGTAGGGTTATATTTTTCTGCTATTTCTTTATTAATTTTAACATCTGCCTTCTGTTACATATAAGGTATGTTGATATCCCCAAATGGTGTTTCACATTTACTTGGAAATTAGCATATAACCAAGACCTTAAACTCCTCTATATTCGAACTTTATTTCCTAATTGTTATAATTTAGAAAAATAAAATTAAAATGGTGGCTGCTAGTAGAAAAATAGTGAAAATTGTCAGTTTTATTCTCTTTTCATATAAGAAAACAAACTCATAGAACTTAAGGTTTGAGTCAACTTCCTTTGGTTTGGTCACAGATATGGAGGAATTTCAAATTTCAGTCATCGGCGGGTCAGATACCTACAGAAGAATGTGAAGTATAAGTCAAAGTTCCTGGACATGAGAAGACAAATAAATATGAAAAACAAACACATTTTCTTTACTGAAGAGTCAGAAAAGACGTTCAAAAAAAGCAAAACTTTGACTAAGGTATATATAAATTTTGTTCTTTATTTATAGATAAAATTTCATTTTGTAAGCTTGACTCCCTAAATTTTTTTTTCAAGTGGAAATCCTGTTTCTCCCAGAGATAAGGGTACCTAAAATTCTCTTCTCCTTGCTTACTAAAGGCATATATCATGTGAACCAAATTTGAAATAGAGTAAGTTGGTAGTAATACAAAAAGGGGATGTTTTGAAAGCTAGTATCAGTGTCTGGGAAGATAAATGGATAAAATTGCTTCGTATACATGGTAACAGAATTTCTCATCTGCCTCAGGCTAAGTAGGATCCTGAAAGCCAATTTCTGGTCCAGCATTTATTGTAAACTTCAATTTTGAGGTCATCTAGAGGTGATCAGTCAAACATTGTACTAACCAGTTCATCCTAATAGTCTCATGCTAATTTAGTGATTTACACTGCTAACTGGAATATTCATGTCCGCTCTCTTGGACTCTGCTATACCTGCTGTCCAAGCACCTGAAAAACAAAGATAATTAGAATTAATTTTGCTTGGTTTGATGAGTGATGCTTATCCGTTATAGGAGGAAAAAAAACAAAAATACCTTCTAGTGAGCAAAACCTTTGTATCAGTTACCTCTCCAGCAGCTCCTTCAGTCAACAAAACAAAATCTCAGAACCCGTGATGACTTTGTTTTACCCTTAGGGACATTATCCTTCCCAACTTCAGCATTCTTCCAAAACATGCTATAGATTTATAGCTGGCTTTATTTTTGTTATATTTCGGATTGGTTGGTTGCTGGTGATACTTTAATATTTTAGTGGCCCTGGTTATATCTGGAACACATTTCCCAATATCAGACCAATCAGTCTTATAGAACTTTTTACATGTTGGATGTGATAGTCCCCATACATCCATCTGTAGACAAACAGCAGAAACATAACTGCTAAGTATTGCCAAGGAGAAAAGAAGTATGGCTGTTGTGTCATTAGATATCTGACTGATGTATAGGTACAGTCCCTTTGAAGATTCTGGGTTGTTGTCTATGTTCATCTTTGAATTTCCTAACTCATAGGAAGGTCACGAAGATCTGTTCTGAAGAATATTCTTGTTACAGAAGTTTGCAAGGAAGTACATATCTGCTAACACCTTGTTAACGTTTCTAAGAAACCCAGTTTTTAGGAATCATTTTACTGGCCTACTGCCCCATTAAAGGGTAGCTTGCATTCTAAGATAGCACTCTTTTTCTTACAGATAGATGGGCACTAGATCTTTTTAGAGTTTATCTTTGATGCTGAGTACAGTTAAACATAGCCTGGGCCATTGAAGAAAGGTCTGTATAATTTGAAAAGCTAATAATAATGACTCAATAATTAGTAGGTACATTTGTAATGGTAATATCACATTGTATGGTTATACTGTTAGAAGCCTCTTATGGAAAGCTACTGGGACAGTTCAGCTTTATCCTCTTAGTGTTAATTGATTATAGGAAGTTCATTGTCATGTGTTTAATCTAATACTTTCTTCCTTTTAAAGAAATTTTTAATAAGATCATGATATGTCCAGATACAAAAGTGTAGTTAGAATTACTTATGTATAATTAGCTTGTATGATATAGTATACTTATTAGAGCTAATAATTACAACAGCTTCTCAGTGAAATCCAAATGGTAAAACAGGTGGGAATATCCTATGTAATTTGGCATTCATTCATGCTTGTGACGACTTAAAATTTCAGGTAGAAAAATTCCTAAAATGGATTAATGAACCAATGGAGGAGGAAGCACAACAGGAGTCAGTTTCTCATGACAATGTGCAAGACACCTGCACAAGCAGTGATTCAGAGGAACAAGAAATGTCTGTTAAAAGTGATGACCCACTGGAGACAAGTAATCCAGAGCCTGAAAAGTGTCATGCCATGTCTTCAGCTGATGAACTTGAAACAGAAAAAAATGAAGGAGACAGCACAGTAGTAGCTATTACAGATAAGGAAGTTGGTGTTACTCAGATTACACCAGATTCTCTTCAGGTAGAAACTGAAGGTAAGACTAAGTATGCTTCAACTTGCAGATGAGTTTAGATAATGTGCTTCCCTAGTTTTCACTTATGAATCATCTATACCTAAGGATTCACTGCTGTTTCTTTTTAAGTAGAGAGAAGGCACAGCAAGTGTAAATGTGCTAGTGGTTATGTTTTGGCACCAGAACACTACATTCTCGGCTGAGCAAGCATGACAAAACAAAAGGCCAAACACATGGGAAAACCGAGTACCTCTGTCTATGCCATTAAGATTGGTCTCTGCCACTACCCTCTTCCCTGGGCTAAAAGTGACTGGCGGTCCCTTTTATCCCTCTTGAATTTGGTATTGCCCTGATTTTCCTTTTGATAATTCTTTTTTTTTTCCCCCTTTGGCTTTTGTGGAATGTTGTTGGTAGTGGTAGTTGTTGTTTGGATGGTACACTGACATAAGGTATTTATAGTAGTTGCCTGTAATGAATGGAGAATGGAGTCACATTTTCACTTTATGCCCTTTTTGTACTCTTTGAATGTATTCTACAGTAAATGTTCTGTTTAATTGTGTTCAGTGGAACATTGAGACTTTTATGGGGTAGAAATTTTCATTTGACATATATTCGTTTTTATTGATGAATGATTTCAGATTTCAGACTTGCCCTAACGAAACAATTATATTGTGATGGTCTCTTTTCTTAATTTAGTATTGAGGAAAATACCTCATTTGAATCTTAATTCTTTTTTCTGTGTGTGTGTATATGTGTGTGTGTGTAGAGCTGTGTTGTTTGTATCATGTACTTCTTTGCCTTTCTAAAAAGCATACTTAAGGTAGTTTTAAATTTTTTTATTGTCATATACAACTGATGTTCATGGGGTACTTGCAGATTTCTAGAATGCCTTCATGTGCCTTATTTTCATTTAATCTATAAAATAACACAGTGAGGTAGGAGGGATTATCCTCATTCTAAAAATACAGAAAGTAAAGCTCAGAGAAACTAAGAAATTTGCCTGAGATCACAGAGCCAGTTAGGTGGCATAGCTAGGACTCAATACCAGGTTGTCTGATTCCTCAGTCCCATTTTCCCGCCCTCTCCTACTTCCCTAACTACCTTGCCTCATAGTGCTGGTAGTTCTCAGCTGGGGTGATAACTACCACTTCAGGGCATTTGGAAGATGTTGGCTGTTAGAATGACCTGGGGGTGCTGGCATTTAGTACTTTGGGTTGCTTAACATTATGTCGTGTACATGATGGTCTTGGACAGTAAGGAACTGTTCACTCAAAATGTTAGTGTCCCCTCTCCTAAAAAACTCTTAGTACACTTTGCTGGGGATGACACCTTGTGCTCCCTGCAATGATCAGATGACCATATTAAGACATAGTCCTATCCTTGAGGATCATTTAAATGTAGTAGTTTTATTTGCCAACACCAATTCTTGTCATTATACTTAGCTGTGACAGCACTCTTTCTGCACTAATCTGCTCAGAACTTAAACCAAAAAACCAAATTAATAAAAATTGTTTATCTAAGAAAAAGTCAATCTCTGAATAAGTGAGATCCTTTTCTATTAACATTAAAGCAGTGACCTGTTTTAATTTCCCGGAGGCCATACGACCTTCAGGTCACGTCTGGATTTAGAGGATTGACCAAGCTGAAAGTTAGGGGCTAAATCAGTCCTTAGGAGATTTTGTTTTAAAGAAGGGAAGAGAAATGTTTGGATTTCTATAATTGACCAACTAAAACAGTGTCTTCTCTAATAGAAGTAATAACTTTTATACTTATATAGTATCTCTACATATGCCCTAACAATCCTGTGAAGTAAGTAGGTAAAATACTATTCATTCATTCCTTTTCAGGAATTAAAAATTGGATCTTAGAGAGCCTGGGTTACTGTTCCAAGCTCAGGGAGCTTTTACATAGCAAAATAGAGGCTGTAATCTAAAATCAGTGCTGTTCGCAGTATGCCCTTCCGCTTCTCCTGGGGTGCTGTTGCCTGCATAGTCTGCAGTACATTCCCAAACTGTAAATACTGAATGTGGCTGCACTCTTTAGATGAATTCATCTATGATTGCCTTTTTTCATAGTGAGCATCTGTATTTATATTCTTTTATTTTAGCAGAAAGTAAAAAGAAGAAGAAGAAGAAAAACAAGAACAAAAAGGTAGTTGGTCTGCCTCCTGAGATAGCTGCTGTTCCTGAGCTGGCAAAATATTGGGCCCAGAGATACAGGCTCTTCTCCCGTTTTGATGATGGGATTAAATTGGACAGAGGTAAAAATTATATATAATGTTTAACACTGTTTTGAAACAATTTCAGACTTACAGAAAAGTGTCAGGAATAGTAAAAAATTTTTCATAATGCCCTTTACCCAGATTCGGCTATTTTTAACATTTTGCCACATTTGCCTTATCATTCTGTGTGTGTTTCTGATCGAGTTGCTCCTACCCCTTGATACTTAATGTGTGTATTTTCTAAGAACAAGGATACTTTATGTAACAATGGTAAAATTATAAATTTAACATTGCTACAGTATTATCATCTGTAGTCCAGACTCTAGTTTAATCTGTTAACCTAATCATGTCCTTTATGGCTTTTTTTTTTTTTTACTTCCAGTATAGGATCATGTATTGCATTTAGTTTTCATGTCTCTTTAGTTTCCTTTCATCTGGACTAGTTCCTCAGCCTTTTTGTCTTTCATGACTTTGACATTTTCCAAAGAAAAGTGGCCAGTTACTTTCAACAGTATCTCTTAATTTGGATATATATGTGCTTTTAAAATTTCACATTCAGGTTTAATCTATACTTAATCTATATTTTAGGATAGATAGCAAAAGGAATCAATAGATTATTAAGCAGAACATCTAATGATGAAATACTTAGTGCAGAAAGACACTATTTAATGAATTAACACTGGAAACCAAGTTCTTCTGTGAGTGTTCCTGCTATGTCTTGAATACCTTCCTTAATTCAGTTCTACAGACTGATGCTTAGTTTCATATTGGGGCTACTTAAACATTGGTCTTTATTAACTGTCAAAATTAGGAGGCTAGATCTGGGGTTAGAATTTTGGGTTCTGTGACCTCTTATAATTATTTACAAAATGTGTATTGAAGAAGGTGCATAGGAGTTTGGAGAAATAAGACTGGATAAAAGCTGTTTAATTCTATAAAATAAGTTTATGTTTTTATTCTTCCAGCAATAAGGAGCCATTTAAAGTTTTGGTAAGAAAAGGGAACAGGAAAATTGGTGTATCATTTTGTTCAGAGAAATATCTTTCTGAAAAAAATGTTAATTTCTTCTATTGGGAAAGGAGGTCAATTTGCTTCCCCGTTAGAAATGAAATAATCAGGAAACTCAGTGGAGTTTGGGGTGTTGGCCAGTTGAATAGCTAACTTTCCATTTCCCATAATAGTAGTTAATACTTCAAACAGAAAAACCAAAATTGCATTCAATTATTGGAAGTATATTACAAAAGAATCAGGCAAGAACTGAGGCGGTTGCTTTGGTGGAAATTGGGAATGGAAATGGTACTGCTCCTTTGTATAATGAGCTTTGTGGAACTTTTTTAAAACTAAGTAATTTATAATTTTTGAAAAAGAGAAACTAAGTTTTGGTTAAGTATATATAATATATAGTAATGTTAGCTATGTTTATGCTTGGGTTGGCTTCTTGAAACTGAATATCTTAACAGAAATACTCTTCCCTTCACAGAGGGCTGGTTTTCAGTTACTCCTGAGAAGATTGCTGAACACATTGCTGGCCGGATCAGCCAGTCCTTCAAGTGTGACATTGTAGTAGATGCATTTTGTGGAGTTGGAGGAAATACTATTCAGTTTGCCTTAACAGGAAAGAGAGGTAATTAGTCATCAGAGGAAGAAAAGTAATTTCTTTTTAATTTATTCAGTAAATGTTTCATTTTGCTTTAGCCTATCGTTGCTGAGATTTAATATATAATTAGTAATTTAATGCCAAATTTTTAAAATAATAATAGCTAGCATATAGTAAGCATACACTTTGTATCACATACTGATGTAAGTGCTTAATATGTATTAATTTATTAGTCAGTGATCTTGTGAGGTGTATCTTCTACTATCTGCATTTCACAGATAAACAGGGAAATAGATGAAATAACTTGCCCAGGATTACACGGACACAGCTTGGTGAAGCCAAGATTATAACATTACATAAAACTAAAAATATTAAAATGGGAAACCATTCTTTAGAAGAAGAGTGGACAGGGAGTTCCAGCTTTGCCACCTTTATGACTTTGGACATCATTTAACCTCAATTTAAAGGAGACTTTAAATTGATAACCTCTGTAATACCTTTCAGCTGTGCATTGTAAAACTCTAAAAATCTTCTAAGTATTAGATCATTCTCGTGGTTGTTTGACTTTGGAATCATGAAAAAGAAACCCTCTATCACTATTTATGTGCCAGGAACTATGTCAGGCAGGTTGTATGTGTGCTATTTCCTAAGGAAAAGAAAACTATAAAATTGATGGTCTGCCCAAATGGGCATAGCTGAGTCATGAAGCCAGGATTTTTACTCAGTTTTTTCTGACATCCCTGTTCTTTTTAAATTCTTTTAAAAGTGTAGTATATGTGACATTTCAAAGATATCAATTGTTAAGTCATACTCTGAAGATGCGTTTTTTCCCTAACATCTTTGTATTATACATATAGCTTCCATTTCAGTGGATTACAGTTAAGTCTCATTAATTTATATAAAGTTTTTAATATTAACTAGGAAAGTATGATTCTGGAAGCATAATATAGAAGCTAGAAAATGGTGAAGGAAAACTTAACATTCAAGACCCAGACCCATGCTGATGAACTGTAACCCTTATTAAATCATGCCCCAGGGTGTGACACTTCTCACCTTATATGGTCTCCTAATAGCCTGAATGAAAGTTGTCTTCACATACTGGAATAGGATTTATTTTCCTGTTTTCCTTAAATTCATTATTTACTCTTAAAGTTCTCTGCGCTTGCCAGATTAGCCAGTCCTGTGAGCTCAAATCAGTGTTTATTGCATGAAAATGATTTTTTCCTCAAAAATTTTCAAATTTGTCTTCATTTTGACATTGTATCATAACATAACAATTAAAATATCTGCCCTCTGATAAAGCAGCAAATAGATGTGGATATTTTTTCAAAATATTATGGAAACCATCCATATTGTAGATTTATATTTCTATGAATATAGGTTTCTTGCCAAGGCTTTCTGTAGCTTAGTACACATTTGGTAAAGAAAAATGTCTAATGTGGGTCCAAAGCTAAAGGAAGGCTACTTCTGTCATGTACTCCCAGACCCAGTTGTTGTCTAGGCATATACTCAACTGAATGGTTAGAGAATCCACAAAGTTTTTCATTTCGATGTTAAAGATTTTTTTCCCTTTCTATGTACTTCAGTATTACTGCTATCCAATAGAATTTTCTGTGATGATGGAAATGTTGTGTATCTGCACTGTCCAGTATGATAGCCACTAGCCACATGTGGCTTTTGGGCATTTGAAATTTGGCAGTGTGGGGGCGTCTGGGTAGCTCAGTGGGTTAAACAGCCGTCTCTTGATTTCAGCTCAGGCCATGATCTCAGGGTCCTGGGATGGAGCCCTGTGTCATGCTCCCTGCTCAGTGGAGAATCTGCTTGAGAATTCTCTTCCCCCTCCGCCCCTCCCCCAGCTCATGCATGCACACACATACTCTCTCTCTCAAATTAATAAATAAATCTTTAAAAAATGTGGCAGTGTGACTGAGGATCTAAATTCTTTATTTCATTTTAATCAGTTTAAAGGTAATAACCACGTATGGTTAGTGGCTACCATTGGACAGTGGAATTCTGTATAATGTCATCCAATATTTGCCAGCATTTCATTTACATGATAGACTGAGTGTTTACATTCTGTTAGGCCTAAAAACAAAGCAGCCTGTAGGAGAAATAAAGATGAAAACATGAGGATTGACTGAATATATTTGATTTTGAAAATCATTTTTCCTGTTGAGTTTTTAGTGTTGTCAGCATATCTTTCCATCTGTCTCTGTACTACAAATGGAGCAGATTGAACAAGGACATTTTCATCTTTTCTCTTATGTTAGTTTATTTAGAACAGAAAAAATAGCATTGTAAATGCATGATTTCAACATGTAATTGGAACTTGTATTCATTGTTCAAGTGATTTATTTAGTGCATTATTTCTCAAAAGTGTTAACAAATTTTAAAAAACATCATTTTCTAGAAAACAACTATGTTTCCATGACAACCATGGAACCATCAGGGTTCCATTTAGCCCTTCCAAATATAAAATATTGCCACCAGCACATTGGTGCACATACAGGTGCACTTGAGTTATTGACTGCCAGATAGGAGTGAGCTAAAATTAACTTATGTTTGCATTGCTAATTATGAAATTGCAATAAATTAAATGAAAACCCATTCGATGAAAACATAACGTTGTCGGTTTCTTCTTCCTAAGATGTCTCATTAAACATCGGCAGATGTTTTTACATTTCTTCTTCATAAGCTGGCTATATGGGTTTGTCAAAATGTGTTTTAATTTGCTTTTCTATAGAAGTTGTCAAATTTGTCTTTCTTTGGAGGTTGCATCTCATTTTAGGAAATTGGTCGTTTCTGAAATCCTAGTGTTACAGGCTTGACATGCAGTCAGTGACCTTTCCAAGTGTTTGCTGCTCAGGCTGTTCAGAGCACAGTGCTGAGCATGCGTTTAACTCTCAGTAGATACTGTGTGGCAGCTGTCACTACTTGCTTTGGAAAAGCTGAGTGACACAACTTTGAAAGCCAGGTCCTTCAGTCACATTTTCTTGGTACTACATAAGTGAATCTTTCTAATTTAGATTAAAATGTTTAATTAAGGTCTTTTATCTCTGGTATATGTGCCAAACTCCCTTAGTCTTTAAGTTCTTATACCAGGGCGCCTGGGTGGCTCAGTTGTTAAGTGTCTGCCTTTGGCTCAGGTCATGATCCAGGGTCCTGGGATCAAGCCCCGCATCCGGCTCCCTGCTAGGCAGGAGGCCTGCTTCTCCCTCTCCCACTCCTCCTGTTTGTGTTCCCTCTCTTGCTGTGTGTCTCTCTCTGTCAAATAATAAATAAAATCTTTTTAAAAAAAAAAGTTCTTATACCGAGAAAAAAATGAGATTGCTTAGAAGATGAACTGTTCTATAGGTCAGTGTCATTTGACTCTTCTTTTCCCACTTTTAGTGATTGCCATTGATATTGATCCTGTGAAGATTGATCTTGCTCGCAATAATGCAGAAGTTTATGGAATAGCAGACAAGATAGAATTCATCTGTGGAGATTTCCTTCTGCTGGCTTCACATTTAAAGGCTGATGTTGTGTTTCTTAGCCCCCCTTGGGGAGGACCAGACTACGCTACTGCGGAGACCTTTGACATCAGGACCATGATGTCTCCTGATGGATATCCTTTGGAAGGCTGAGAGTTTACTCAAACAGTGGTTGTGGAGAGAAAGGTGTGCATGTGAGTGACTGTGTGTGTTTGTCTGTGTGTTTCATAGATTAGTGAAGTGGGATTCCAGTTTATTTTGCATAAAAAGCCAGTATGTAAAAATTAGTGGTGGTTGATTTTCAAGAGGAATGGCAGATGTGAAGTCATATTTCCTTCGGGTACTATCCAATTTTATCATTATAAAACAAGAAATAGGAACTATTAATTGCTTGAAATTATTGTCTTGGAAATTGGGAGTTTCCTCAAGACCTGTCCATAGACTCTAGGTGACCATCCCTTAACTTTTCTTAAGCTTACACTGGCTTGTGCTAATTCTCTTTGCATCTTCAAATGTTTCCTGTCACTCTTCCAAGATACTGAAGCAAACCCTTCTTTCATAAAGAATAGCTTTTATTATTTGTCCCTTTCTTTATCTCTCCTCCCCAGAGGACTCATCTGTTTGACTCTAACAGGAAGCATGTTTCTAAATTGCTAATTAAAATTTAGAATGTATTCCACAACGACCAGATTTACTTGTCTTTATTCTTTACTGGAAAGAGGTAGTATTATGCTTTCCTGTTCTGTTTGCATAATAATTAGGAAATGGCAGAAAGAGAAAGTGTATTTCTGACTCTTGGCTGCTTTCCACAAGGATAATCGAATTAATAGGCTTAACTTCCAATCTGTGACCCATCTGAATTACAAAATCTGCTACTTAGTTCTCTCTTAGGTTCCATCAGAGGATCTAAATGTGTGTCTCTTAGTTATATATCAAAATACATTTGGGTTATGACATAAGAACATATCTCTGATCAGAAATTAACTGCTGTTTTTGTTACCGTTCCTTAACTATGTCCACCTTTGAAATCTTCAGGCTTTCCCAGAAGATCACTAATAATATTGTTTATTTTCTTCCAAGAAATGCTGATATTGACCAGGTAAGCCACTACTAAAGAACTTCAATGAGCCTCTGGCATAACTTAAAAAAATGGGCAGAAAAAAGATACAAGGCCTTCCTTTGAGAACGTATTTATGAGAAATCTCAGCTTTTTGACTATTACTAGAAAACTGGAGGTGTTTGGCAGTTAAATCTATGCCTGTTTCATCCACTTCATCTCCACACCTCCTGGAGGACATATACATAAATTAGAACCCTTTGGGCTTTTAATTATATGTTCTGAAAGGGTAACGTGGAAAGGATAGTGTGTTGTGTTTCAAATACACATACCTAAACTAGCCAAGATCTGTCTTTATTGAGACCTATCTTGAGAGTAGAGGTTTTAGGTACTCCTCAAAAGAGGAGCCTAAATAGAAATATACACATAAAACTTTAATTTGGCCAGAAGCAATTTTAACTATAGTCTTGGAATGTAGGACACTTGACTAATAGTTAAATGAGTTAAATGTCCTTATTCCATTCTTCCATAAACACTTATTTAATAATGTTATTTTTTTCTCTTGTAGAATTGGATTTGGTATAACTGCCTCATAAAGATTCGATGATGTCTTCATGTTTTTGTTGATTTGCTTTCTATAAACACTTACTGCATATCTAATGTGTGATAAGCATTCTCTTGAAAATCTTTTATTTTTTTATATTTTAAATTTTACTGTAGTATTAACTAGCTCTGAGGTTTTTCTTTCTCTCCTATTTGATACTGAGAGCTGACCCTGTCGTTCTGACCTTTTTCATCTTGTTCTGAAGAAATTATCTCATTATCTATTCAACTAAATTTCTCATCACTTTTGTTCCTTTTTCTGGGGCATCACTTATGTGGACATTAGTCTTTCATAACTATTTCCTGGTGCTTTTTCTCTTTCTTTTTCTTCTGGGAGATCTGGTCTTCCATCTAGCTCATTCTTCAGGTATACATGTTCTATTATCTATCTCATCTATTGTGTTTTTTAGTTCAACTATTCTTTAAACTTAATATTTCTATACTGTTTTTTGTTTTCTTCTTTTACACTCTAAATCTCTTACTGTTATTTTAAGAACTTTAAATTCCTAATCTGATCTATCCTTTTTGAATTTCATATAATTTAGAATCCATTTTGCTTTTCTTCCGTGAAATACTTGTCATCCTCAAATATCTTGTCTTACTGTGTATTGGCTATTCTCAAGTAATGCAGAAGAAGACAGGCTGTGCTTTAGGGTCCCTGGGGACCCTTGTAAAAACTGTAACAGCCCCACCTCAGAAATTGATCTAACCAGTTTTTTAAAGCTGCCAGATCATTCTAATGTGCAGCCTGGGTTGAGAACCACTGCTGCAGTCTGTGTTAGGCCCAGTGATAACCTCAAGGGATGAAAGTGGGTAAGCTGTGGGGTTGCCAGCCCAGGTCCCACAGGACTACAGGTGTCACCGCACACCATCTCAGGGCACAACTCCTCACCTTTGAGGAGGAGCTGGACAAAAGCAGATGTAAAGACTGTACGCTTTAATCTTCTAGTGTCATTCATCAGCTCACTGGTGTGGAGAGGGAAGAGTGAGACAGTGGATATCGGGGATTAGTCCCACCTGTTGCTCTCAGCTCTTCACAGCAGGATTTCTTTTCAGACTGCCCTACCTTTACTCCTGAACATAGACCAGCATTCCCAGTTCCTGTGAGTGAGGCAGCATACCCCAAATGCAGGGTGATTGGGAGGGAGCACCAAGAGCAGAATTTCTTTTATTTTTCTTTTAATTCATTTTAGAGCGAGAACACAGGGAGAGAGAGAGAGAGAGAGAGAGAGAGAATCTCAAGCAGACTCCTCTCTGAGTGCAGAACCTGATGCGGGACTCAATTCGTGACCCTGAGATCATGACCTGAGCCAAAATCAAGAGTTGGAGTGAGCCACTCAGATGCCCTGAGAGCAGAATTTCTAAGTTCTTGTTTTCTTTCTTCTGTCTTAGCTTCTCACAAGCACAAACACTTCCCTCCTGCCCTAGGCAGAGGCACTCCCCTCCATCCTGCACACATACATTCAGACCATCCTGGGTCTCCAGAGGTTTCTTTTGTTTGGTTTCCCTCTGTTGTGTCAGCATCTTCCTAGGGCTTTGGTCATGGGGACATAAGTAACAATGCAACCTTCTCATTAAAAAGGTAGAGATTAAATGTTCTGGCTCTCTCATTGTGATGACCTCAGGAAAGGCTCTAATGATCTAGAATGTAAACTGGACTTTAAAGAAGCTTTGATTGTAGCAGTTGAGAAGGTGGCAAGAGCACCAATGACATGAAAGTGAGCATATGTGAATAATGTTCAGTTAATGGGCTCAAAACGAGAGAGAGATTAAGAGTCTAACAGACCTAGTTGAGTCTCAGCCCTGCCACTTACTAGCTGTCTGGCGACAGTTCTGAGGCATAAATGAGTATGTGGATACTCAGTACGTCTAGCCCATAAACTCTCAATAAAGTCCTGTGTATGTGACTTTGAAGAGCCTGTTATAAAGTTTTTGTGAGAAGAATGTAAATGTTAGTAACACTTTGAAGAGGGCCAGAATGGAAAGATGACATCTTTTCTCTAGAGGATAGAATAGAAGGTTTTATATTTATAAAATGATAGAATCCCAGATAATATTTTTCTTTTTCTCTTATCAGAAACATATACTCGCTTGAAAGGACATATTCTTGTATCAGTTTGTCACACTCTCCCGATCTTGACTTATTTCCTTGGTCTTTGGGACACTGGCTCTCAGCTCGGGCTACTAATTGGAATTGTCTGAGGGGCTTTTTTTTAAATTGTGGTAAGACACACATAACAAAACATGCAGTTTAGTGGCGTTACATATATTCACATTGTTGTGCAAGCATCCCCACCATCCTTCTCAGAACTTCTTCATCTTCCCATGCTGAAACTCTCTACTTTGAAACTCTGTACTTTTAAACACTGACTCCCCATTACCTGGCCACCACCATTCCATGATCTCAATGAATTTGACTATTCTAGGAACCTCAAATAAGTAGAATCTTACAGCATTTGTCCTTTTTATCTAGCTGTTTTCACTGAGTGTAACATCCCAAAAGTTCATTCATGTTTGAACATGTGTCAGAATTTCCTTCCTTTTTAAAGCTGAGTAATATTCCATTGTATGTATATGCTACCTTTTGTTTATCCATTCATCCATGGACATTTTGGGTTATTTTCACCATCTGGCTGATGTGAATAATGCTGCTATGGGCGCACAGTATCTATTCCTGCTTTCAGTTCTTTTGGTTATATAGCCAGAAGCGAAACTGCTGAATCATAGAGTAATTCTCCTTAAGTTTCTTGAGGACCCACATTTTACATTCCTACCAGCAGTTCTTTAAGAGTTGCAGTTTCTCCACATTCTCAGTTTCTCCACATTCTCGCTAACATTTGTTTTTTTGTTTGTTGTTGTTTTGTAATAATAGCCATCCTAATGGGTATGAAATGGTATCTCATTGTAGTTTTGATTTGCATTTCCCTGATGACTAGTGATGTTGACCATCTATTCACATACGTATATTCTGGATATTAATCCTTTATCAGTATATGCTTTGCCCATATTTTTCCCCATTCCATGGGTTGCCTTTTTACTATCTTCTATTTTTTATATCAAATTTGATATTAAGCCATACCTCCTACTCATGTAACTCCGACCTGCATCCTAGACTCCAGATAGGGTTGAGCCTGTTGATTCCATAATTCTTATTTGCCCATGTAAATATTATGCTCTATAACTAGTCTCATAAGAGGTTTTATGTTCCTTGTATTAAATATTAGATGGGCTCACTTTGATACTTGAATGACAATAGGAAATTTACTACTTATTGCGAAGTTACAATGAGTACATTTTTTCTAGTTAACACTTGCCCAAGGAGGAAGTTAACTTTTTTCTTTAACTTGTGTTTTTGGTTTACTTCAAAAACCTGCTAGAATCACGGTTGGTGATTTTACATCTTCTACCTGTAGAGGGAGTAATGACACTGAAGAATAATAAAAGTCAAAAAGGAAATGAGATTTCAAGTACATTATATTGTTTGGTATTTGGATCAAATTACAGAAGAAAGTCAGAGACCTCTGACTCTGACTGACAGAGACCAGAGGTCTCTGACTTTTCTTTTTAAAATAAAGAAAATCTATCCATATGTAGGATTTTTAAAATGAGAGGAAACGCAGTACTGCAAGAATGAGAGCTGTGTTACAGAGAAGTCAGCTTTTTTGTTAAGGAACATTTAGAATGTCACAGCGACCTGAACTTACAAATGGGCTGGTTTCCCCAAGTTTATGAGTTGGCTTTTTGAAACTCGGGCTGCATTTTTCCCATAGAAATGTCTATAAAGAACAGCTAATTTTTCATCCAGAAAGATTTATACTCTGGAGAATATTTATATTTGGGGTGACTAAACTGAATATGGGCCCAATACAGATACAGCTTGTCCCGTAGTCTCTCCACGTGGGAGATGAGGCCAATTGTTTTCTGTATCTAGTAAGATATTTTTCTAGGTCCCTTATTATCTCAGTCTTTTATTCCCTTTTTCTGTGTTGGGCTTACTCCAGGACACATATTCCCTTGTTACCCAAACTCTCAACTATCCAACTCAACAACTAACTAATTTAGAAAGTCTTTTTGTGCTAGGCTCTTTGGAGGGAAATCACAAGTGAACCTTTGGAACTGATTAGCTTCAGTTCAGAGGGCCCAGGGTATATAGATTTATCTACTGGATACCTGTTTCTTGCTGTATTTTCTTTCATTTCTTTCCTTTGACAGTCATATAATTGCAGCCAATACTAGCTTTGGATCCATGAGGCATTCCAAATACGGAAAACTTCTGTTTTAAAAAGTAAACATACACAGTATGGATAGAGGTCTCTGAGCAGAGTAGAATGTTTGTATGGCATCCCTGTGGGCGGAAGTTCAAACCAGAAGGAGCCCTGTCTCCTAGGCAGATACTGGAATGCGGGGAGGAGGGGCTGGGGCTTGGTGTCACCCAGCAC